TAATTAGTGATTTCCTAAATATGAAATGACATAACGTCACTCATTCACCCATTTGTGTACAATACCCTTTAAGCGATGCCATGCAAAAGAATCAATATGCAGTTCGTTTGCCTTGGAGATTTTTCAAGTCCTGAAAGTTTTTATGAGTAGAAGCTGTATTTTCAGGTTTTGAACATCCTTACCTCAGCGCTTATGATCATCTCAGCCTCGCGTATGAATTTTAGCGCTATTGTTAATGTGCTTGTTCCGTTACTTTGTGATCCTAAAAGGAGAGTAAGGTAAGGGAACTTTTAAACGATTCAGTGCAGTTTATCAAGCATATTTACTTCATTATAATTAGACTAGCAGCATTCGAGCAACTATCTGTTGTTGCATATTTAATGAATGGAAAATTGGACATTTTGCTAAGAGCTGTAAGGGATATGGAAACTCGTTCGTCTCTTACAGGCCTTTCTGCAGCAGTTATGGTAAGTACTCTATCAACATTATCACTCTTCTAAAAATTCATTGTAGGGTACTACAGTTGAAATATTATCAAAAAATATTGGGTGACATATAATGAAAAGAGTAACAAACTTTTTTTTCGGAATCAAAGAAGATATGTTTGTGGACTGTATAGGACCATATCTTTAAGTGATTATTGGATAAGTTTAGAAGTACCGTTGTAGATTGGAAGCCAGTAAGATGCTAACCGCTACCTAAGGAACAAAATCTAAATCCAAGGATATAAAGTGTTACTGAAAGTAAGGTTTCGTTTGGCTATATAGTTCTGCCAACAACATTAAGATCTGTTGACAAATTATAATCAGCATTCTCTTGAGCTAGTGTTATGTTTGCAGCTGCATCAATTTCATAAAATTCATTTAAATTCCCATGGTAATACCGGAAATTTCCAATTTTTTGCACAATAATTTTCCCTTTTATCTACCTATCTTCGTGTTAAGAAGAAACTCAAGGCTGACGCTTTTGCAATAAGAGCCTAACAGTAGTGAATTTTTAGGTTAAAAAATGAAGAAGTGTGGAAGTTATCTGATGGAGAACATAAAATCTTATAAGCTACTCAGCTGGCAGATAGGAAAAAGTTGCAATTTGGTCTAAAAATAGTAAATAAGTTTTCGGTTTATGCAATGAAAACTCCTCAAAGAGACATGCTAACATTTTAAGGGTGACTCAAAGTCATGAAATGCATCCAAATTGTTTTATTTACAATGGTTAGTAAATACAAGGTGGTCTTTGCAAATACATAATTAATCTGGAATACGATTATATTCATATTTGAATATATTCATTAAATTACATGTATTTTCTTGATTCGGTCCATTATCTTTAATGTTAGACATGGGAATATTCGCTGTTGAAACTGGTCACAGAGATTTTCTTTGTTTTGGTGTAGCGCTGAAAAACAGGATGTTGTTTCTACAATTATATGCGTAAGAATCGTACAACCTATTATAGCTATAAATATATTTATAATTGTTGAGGTTTTAAAATCAAAACATGAGCTGCCCTCGGATGCATCATGTCTCGGAAATGAAAAAAAAAGCTTGATGGAAATTTCCCTGCAGGCTCGTCTACGTCGTCAAACTCTACCTCGTATACGCTACGATGGTCTCATTGAGTACTCGACTCCACCCGTGACTGACTCTT